AGACAAAATTCGTGACCAGCGACTGCACAATCGACGCATCTTCCGACTAGTGTCGATAACAATCTACCTATTTTGACGAAGTCATCTTCGTTAAAAATGGATCGACATCAACACAGCGAGATCTTCATACAGGAAAAACAATGGAGCTGCGTGAAGACATGTTCTCCATCCATGAGACACTTCATCTCATAAATTTGATCAACAACCTATGTGATTGCAGAGAAGTAACAGTTTTCTCTTGCAATGCTCCCAGGTTCAGGCTGCTGCGAAGGAGCAGAATTCGCACGCAACGACGACGCAGTGAACCCGTCTCGTCAAGGCCAGCGAGACAGTTCTTCGTAACAGGAGCTGATCGATTCGTCGTCATCAAGAATCTCAGCCATCCGATGTGATTGATTGGAGCAGTCTCAACATCAACCTCACGAGGCGACACACCAATCATGCGTCGCGATTCCAGGTGTTAATGACATGCGTGGAAAAGCATTCTGTGCATGTCACGATGCTTGACAGATTGAGGAGTAATTAACCTCGAATCCGGCAAGTACTCGTTCACTAGCGACCCTACGCCACATGCATTGGAGGCGATTCTACGAGAAGCCGAAGCATTACAAGCATCAACGTAACTTCGACGATGCAGGAGAATGCCAAGCAACATAAGGTGTCAACACATGAGGGAGATGCAGACTACTACAACACAATCACGCACTCTACCGACCGTACATTGGAGGCACGGATGAGCATACCAGGAATTGCTACCCGTGGATACATTGAGGGGAGAAGCAAAAATCTCTTCATACCCTCAAATGAAACAATCACCGACAGCAATGGAGCAACACATGCGTACTAATGTGCACGTGTTCCTGGTAGTTACGCCTGTTACACCCATCAGGAACACTCTAGTGGGAAGAGGGAGTTGATGGATTCTCCTTCAACCATTACGAGTTGAGAGAATTCTCTGCAGCAGCTGCCACAGTCGCCATCGTCGCTACCGTTGCCGCCGCCGCAGCAGGAGACTCGACACAACATCACAACCAATTCCTAATGGATGATTCTCCGCTCAATGGAGATAACACTGGATTATATTCCAGTCTGATCACATAAGACCCGGCCAGGCACTATACTATGATTTCCAGCTAGTGGGAAGGAAATACCACTATGCGAGGGAACAACATGACAATGCCATATACCCTCAAGAGCAGGAGATATTTGCTCTTATGAGGATGCGAGGACAATGGTACTCTACCGGTATACATATCTTCATGGCCTATGGCTTATCTTAAAGTCATAAATCCTGCTTCACAACCATTCCATCACCAGCACCACCTCCACGGAAGTAGATAGGCGTGAAATGGAGTACGCACGTGGCGTCGGGCAAGGCGCGCGCGATGGCCAATATTATGCACAACAAAGGTGGGGCAAGCGAACCAAATAACCACGCACTGTCCGACAACGACCTCGACTCTGCATACCCTGAGGGTCGCCATGCAGACGAACGCGAGAACGAGGGGCCGGGTGAGCGAGTGGCCAGCGAGGAGGATGACCCATCTCCTGTCACGCAGGCACAGCTGCGTGCATGTATCCGTTCAAACGCTGACACGGCCAAGACGATTGCTCGCCTGGAGTCCGCTGTCGTGGGCCTCGTCACCCAAGAGAAACGTGACCGCTGCCATGGTCACCATGGGTGTTCTATGCGTCACAGAGGTCGCAAGGTTGTGCCCCGTCGGCGTCGGCTAGCGAGGATGACTCGTATATCGACACGAGATCAGATGATGACGGACGCCGCCGCAAGATGCCTGTGGTCCGATCGCCGATTGTCCAGTAGGCCCTCAACCTACTCCCCGTAGATGCTGCCTGGAAGGCGCGTCGCGACGATCTGAACAAGTGCTTGTCGAACTGGAAGACTGACGCTGCCAAGCGCTTTTGCAACATCGCCATTCCCAAGCTCAACCTTTTCAGGCATGCGCGTGTCCGTACCAGCCCATGGGCTCGATCAAGGATGTGAGGACCAAGTGGGGCCCGTCCGGAGAGAGCGCCGGTGACCATCCGTGCTAGCGTGCCTTCGTGTGTATTTTGGTTGCGTGATTAAGCTTGTCTCGTCCCCGTGTGACAGAGCTGGAGCTATCAATATGGCATTGCAGCAAGGACGACATGCCGTTCGCGCCCGCAGCCTTCACGGCCACTCTCAAGGCGGCCTTCTAGCCTAGGCATCCATGGGCTCCGATCACCTTGCATGGGTCGAGCTTATCGTGAGATACTCCTAACTTATATCCCAACCGCTGTTACCCATTTTGGGGCAGCCCGAGCCATATCCCTTCGTGCGGCTGAACATTTACCCCCCTATTCGTCGCGTAGCAGGTCGAGGACGCAATGCGAAACTGGGACTCACGGCAAGCGTGCCTGACAAACTCGGCATGCCACAATTACGCCCTGATGTTCGACCTTCATGGGCTGGTGTACATGGTCGTAGTGGGCGCGATCGATGCTAAGGACCCTGAGTACGATGCTGTCACGAAGGCGTGGACGTGGGGCCACCATGGCATCGTCCTCTCCTCTTGCGGCCTGGAGAGCAAGCGCCCGGGGACCGACAATGCCGCGGCCACTATGCAGGATGAAGACGCGGATTCAGAGAGCAATGCTGATTGATTGTCTCGTTTCCATACGTCATGGACGCGTTTTTTCTAAAAAACGTGTGCGCTATAATCACTAGCTGTCCATATGTAATATGGATGCTAAGTGTGGGTGTTTGGTGGTTGCGTTCCCACGCGTTGCTTGCGTCGGCTGCGCATCCGGACGATGCCTCGTACCTTTTTGTCGGGCTGCATGGAGGGTATTGGAATCATGCCCGCAGATGCATTTTGCGCAATCAATTTACAAGATCACTGTCACCCACGAGTGCAATGTTGTAGGCGTGTGTGTAAATTTGCGAACATTTATCAGTTTTGCGGTCCGGTGCGCGAGTGTATTCTACGCTGCGAGTTTCAATTGGCTAATCAGGTGCCACCACGGCTTGTCGCAATTCGTCGCACTTACACTGCCGGAGGTTGTGCGGGTACGTTCAAATCGGTCGGGATCACGCACCCCTCTGGATGCATTTGTCCAGGCCGGATTGGTGGAATGCTGCGGATAAAATACCATTCGGCCTGTGCGGACTTGTTGGCGTTGTTCAGCCGTGTCGTGTTCCCACTGGAGGGTTGCGTCGATGTACAAAGTTATGCTCAGCGAATGGGCATCTCCTATACATGTGCTGTGTCTTTGGTTAGTTTTGCTGCATCACTTGGCCGACGGGACCCAATGGCGCATTTGACCGTCACAATTGTCGTCACTTGTACTGGACGAAGTCCACGCGTGTGAACTACACATTCGAGACGCCTTGTACGTGTGCACTACTGGTGGGTCGTTTAGACGTACATTTGCGCATGGACATGCCACGTGGCATGTGTCCCGTGCGGTACCCGTGCCTCGTCTAGGTCAGTTACGACACATCATTGTAGCTCCCATGCCGTCACGTTTAGACCCCCGCTTTGCACCGGGCCACATGACGGTTTTGCTCTTGCGTGTTTGTGCCACGACAACGGTGACGTGTGTACGTGGGGTCGCTGAGAAGTTGCGTCTGTCCGCTTGGATTTCGTCGTGAAGTTGCCCCTGCTGTCATCTTTTCAAAAGTGTGTTGGTACCTTGGTCACAGTCACTTTAGACCTCAACTTTTCAGTAACCGTGACCTGGTCACCCTAAAATCACCGGAAAGCAACGGCTACGTCACTTCTTGCACTTGCGATCTTCGCGGTGTGGCTGCTTCGTTTGCTAAGTCAGTACAGTCAAACCCTTCAAATTAGGGTTTCGGCCGCTGATCTACACAAGTTAAGCAGTCCTAAGAGTGTGTACCTATGAGCCTCTTCTCAAGCAACCTCTTCCTAGACTTGCGCGCTACAGTGACGCAAAGTTTAACGTGATATGTTTTAGTGGGGTTCCGCGAAGTGCGAAGTAAGGTTCGGCTTGCCGAGATTTAGGGGCGTGTTTTAAAACCTCTTTTCAGACGAACATATTTTCAGACACGTGCGAATCTGCACAATAAAATTTCGGCACAAGTTGTTTTTATGGGTTAGAGAGTGGTGGAACGCAAATATAAAACGAGTTGATTCCGAAAAGGGGCACTGGGAACACACTCTCAAGGTCGCGAATGAGTCTGGGAAGAGGTTGCCTGGGAAGAGGCTCGTAGGAACACGCTCTAATACTTGTAGTAAGCGGAATCAGAATGGTGACGACGAGCGGCGGAGAATGCGGCGACCGGACATGATGAGGGAAGAGGGGAGAAGGGGGTGGAGCAAGACAAGAATGAGAACTTCTTAAAGTAGCCAGATGCGAGAATGGGGAGAGGGGAGGAAGGCAGTTCTCACAGGGAATGCCTTCGGTTCTTCCATTCTCTAACGCTTCTTCCTGAGCGTCCAACTCGCTCTGCGAACAAACAACCGGATTTACGATGTTGTAGCCAGAATTTGCACACCAGCACGCATGGCGAGGCGAACTCACCTTCTCTGTGTTACGCCAATGCGCAAAAGCGTTGTAGAGGCTAGGCCACCGCCAATAGCGTGCGTCGATGGCATTGTGAAATCCTGCACGTCAGCACCAGCAGGCGTGAAAATCCACCCTGGCATTGCAAAACTTGGGGATAGGTGACCGTTGACCCTATTGATAGTGAGGTGAGGTGGCTGGCGAGGCCAGGCAATTCCCAAGGAAAGGGAGGAGCCGCTGCTGTGACGGGGGAAAGATGCAGCTGAACATAATTGATACAGTGGAGGACAGTGTACAAAACATATAGCAGATACCAACAAAAGTGGTAGCAGAAAACCGATGAAACCATCTGAACGATAATAATGGTCTTTAATGGTTTTGCACTTCATATAAGCGTAACAGACTATTGCTGTATCATCTTCGTGAGTCCCCTCTCTATTTTGTCAATTCTCTGGCTACTGAAGTGTGACTACAGTGTCTTCTTCTACAGTACTAGATACTAGTCGGTGCCATGTCGTCCGCTGCCCTGGGACGTCTTTAGCCCAGCCGAACTCGGCGCGCGTTTAATGAGCTCTTGCGGCACTGGTCTTTGGGTTGCGACAGATTTATATCGAGATTTATATCGCTTTTTCCTCGACGTTCTCATTCCATTCTTGTCAATTTCGCAAAAAGTAAGGGAGCTTCGACCATGTCGCCTGCGGTGAACGCGGAGGGGAGGCTGCGGTGCGAGAGGATCGGGTGTGACGCGTATTTCGCGGAGGACGAGAACGACGAAACGAGCTGTCGCTATCACCCCGGGGTAATACGGTGGAGCGATCGATACTGATGTAGTGGGTGCACGCTCAGGCTCATGCCGCCTTTTGCGGCTCTCTGACAGCTGTCGGTTACTCCTAGTAGCGCGTTGACGAGGAATTCCTTTCGGACACAGTGTGTCGTGCCGCCGTCGCCCACCATTTTGATTCATCTTCCCCGTATGCACTGCGTAAGCACTTGAATGGTATGATGCCTAATTACTTGAACCCTCTCCATTTCTCCTCTTCCCATGCCTTGTCATAGTACCGGGCTATGCTGCCGATGCGACACGCTCTGCGGCATGGTCGCCAGCGATGGCTGGCATAATAATTCCTTCATCACTCAGACTTATGCTTGATATTTGTATCATATGGTTGATAGTTGTATCATAGGGTTGATATTTTTATCACGTGGTTGATATTTCCCGTCGCCCAACATGACTCCTCCGCTTTCTCCAATTCCCCTGCCCCTCCATCACCATTGCTCGTACCAGCTGTGCTGGCATCATGCGCAGCTCACCATTGAGTCTGTCTGTGACTCAATTGACAAAAAAATCTCCGTTTTCTCCTATTCCCCGGCTCCTGCTCCCCCATCACCGTTGCTCTCCTACCGGCTGTGCTGGCATGCACGGCGCTGCCGTGGTCGCTGAACAATGGCTGACGACACGTCGACCTCGATTGTCGCAACATCACCGCGAATTCGATTAGCCGGTATGCTCGTGGAACAGATGGCGCGCTGCTAAAGCTCACCAATGCTCGTTTTCGCCTACTATTTGGACCACTCCCCCCCCCCTTCTTCGTCTCGTCCATGATCTCCTCTCCTCTCGCCCTCTCTATCGCGTCCGCCACCCTCCCTTGCCTCCGTTGTCTGTTGTCTCCTCCCCTCTTGCTGACCGATGTATATCTCGCACCTCCCTGTCCCGTAGCGTCGCTCTCTTGCTTGTCTTCTTTCTTCTCCCCCGCCTGCTCACCCGCTGCTCCTCCCCTCCTCGTCCAGTGTTCCAAGATGGCGCCAACGAGATTCTCTGCTCGCTTCCGGTCTCCCCTCCCTACATCCTCCCCCCCCTCCAACCCCTCACCTCCTCCTCACTTAGCCACCCTTCTCCCCACCACACCTCCCTTCCCCCACTCCTCCATCAGCCAGCAGCATTCCACGACAGCACTAGGGATTGAATGTGCTGCCACAGGCGGAGCCACAATATATAAATTATTCTCCCCTCCATTTCGTTCCGTTCCCCCCTCCCCCCACCCCTTTCTCCTTTCCCCCCCCTCCCCCCCCACACCCCGTTCTTCTTCCTCCTCAGTCATTGTTCTACAACGGCACCAAGGACTGGATGTGTTGCCACAAGCTAACCCACGGTCTCTGAGTCACCTTTTTCTCCTTTCCGGTCTTCGCCCCCGCTCCTCCCTCTCCCCTCCCCCTCTCTCTTCCCCGTTTTTACGTCAGCCTGTCATCCGTGACAGCACCAAGGAGTGCATTTGCTCCCACAAGCGAAGCCACAGCTCCTGGGTCACTCTCAGCTCCCTCCGGACTCCCGCCTTCCCCCATCCCACTATCTCCCCTGCTACCCCCTTAGCCAGTGTTCCACGACGTCACCAAGGAGCAGAGCAGACGTACTGCCACAAACGAAGCCACGACTTCCACGTCATTCTCTGCTCCCACCCATCCGGTCTCGAACCCCCTCCCCTCCCCAACCGACAGCACCAAGGAATGGACTTGCTGCCACAAGCAAAGCCACATATTCTAAACTATTCTCACCTCCTCATCCCTCCCTCCCCTCCCCCTTCCCGCCTCTCTCTCTCACCCGCCCACCCCCCCACCCTGCTCTTCTTCCCCCTCAGCCGGTGTTCCACGACGGCACCAAGGAGTGGATGTGCTGCCACAAGCAGAGCCACGACAACTGGTTGACTCTCTGCTCCTTTCCGGTCTTCCCCCTCTTCCCTCTCTTCGCCCACCACCCCCTCTTCCCCCTTTCCTTTCCCCCCCCCTCCTCCTCCCTCCCCCTCTTTCCCGCCTATCCCCCATGCTCCCCCCTCAGCCCATCTTTCATGATGGCACCAAGGAGTGGATGTGCTGCCACAAGCGGAGCCACGACTTCTCACTCTTCCTCTCCATCCCAGGGTAACGCATGCGATGAACTCCAGAGTACCTAGACGCTCACGTTTTTGTCACATCTGCATGCACGTTCCTCCCCTCCGCACCCATATCTGCTTGGCCATCCATTATACTCCTATACCTGCATGCATAGTCGTCACGTCTTCACCTGCATGTTCATTTACCAGCAGTCAACCCTGCCGCACCTTCCCTCCATCTTGCTCATGGCAGCAATCAACCCTGCCACTCCTCTACACTACAAGCCCTTGTTTAGTCAAAGTCTGTCCTGCTATTCCCACTTCAACGTCGCTGTGTTCGTGCGTGCTCATGCCTGTGTGCAATGCCATGTGTTGATGACGAGGATGCATTGTGTGCCTTGCATCTCTTGACTTCATTCACCTGCGTGCCTGTTTTTTACCATTTGGTCTTGCTCCCTGTGACTGTGCTCCCTTTTGTTCTCAGGTGCAAGCAAGGCAAGCACACCACAGAGAAACCAAAACCACTCACCCCCGCAGCACCATCGCCAGCACCAGTAAAACCATCACCAGTGCCAGCAGCAGCAGGAGCGACAGCAGGTGTTTCAGCGGACAAGTCAGCAGTACCAACACCAGCAGCATCAGCTGCACAATCGGCTTCATCGTCATCGCCATCACATCAACAGGCAGCGTGCAATCGGTGCTCTCAAGGCTTCTTCTGCTCCGAGCATAGCGCACGCCAAGGTGACTTGAGCTGCATGTGGCGTGCAGACGTCGGCAATAGACACGGGCAGGTGTGGCATGGTGACATGAGCCGCATGTGGCATATAGGCATGGGCATGTGCCATGGTGAGATTCGTATGCGACATGGTAGCATGGGCCTATAGCACGGCAACATGGGCTTGTCTGATGCCTGAAGCTCTTCATTCCCCCTCCCCCTCCCTTGCCGCTTACAGCTTCATCTCCTGCTATTCCCTGCCAGCTCTAATGGGAGTAGTAGAATGCAAGCGCGGAATGTGTTTGTGTCTGTAAGCACGGGACATTGTAGGAGATAAGCAACGTGACTCAAGTCCTTCATTCTCTCTTTCTCCTCCCTGCCTGCCCTTTGCAGGTTACTCTACACCCCCCCCCCCCCCCCAGCCCTCCTGCCCACCCTCGCGGAACATTAGCAGGGAGAGCGTGTGTATGGCATGACGGAATGTGGGGCCATGTACCGAGAGATGGCTCTTGCTTCTTTCGTCTCCCTCCTCCATGCCGCTTGCAGCTTCCTCTGCTGCTCCTCCCGCTCAGCCGTCCTGCCCGTCCTCATGGGGCACAGTCGTCGTCCTGCGTTTTTGTGTGGCAGCAAGGGCGAATGCTGGGAAATAAGCATAATGTCTGACGCCTCAACGTGCCTCAAGCACTCCATTCCTCTCCCTCCTCTATGCCCCTTGCAGCCTCCTCTGCAGCCACGCCCCCTCAGTCCTCCCGCCCACCCTCATGGGACATCAACGCGGAGCGCACCTGCGGCAACAAGGGGTGTGGGGCCAAGTACCGGGAGATTGACAACTCTGATGGCGCGTGCAAGTATCATCCGGGGCCTGCTGTATTTCACGACAGAAAGCGAGGGGTGAGTGAGAGAAGGGATAGGGGTGAAAGGCACAGGTGAAAAGGTGTGCGCTGGAAACTGTACCTGCGGCAACAAGGCATGTGGCGCCAAGTACTGGGAGATCGACAACTCTGGTGGCGCGTGCAAGTTTCATCCTGGGCCCGCTGTGTTCCATGACAGAAAGCGAGAAGTGGGTGATGGGTGGCGGGTTGAGTGATGGGTGGCGGGGTGAGTGATGGGTGGACTGTGGAGGGGTGAGTGAAGGGTGGAGGGGTGGGGAGCACAGGTCAAGTGAAGTGGGATGGGACGCATGCACGGTGCACCTGTAGCAGCAAGATGTCTGGGGCCGAGTACCAGGAGAGCGACATCTCTAATGGTGCGTGCATGCACCGTCTGGGGCCCGCTGTGTTCCACGACAAATTAGTGAGGGGTGAGAGATGGGTGCTGGGATGAGTGATGGGTTAATCACGTGGCTGGTGATGTGTTAATGGCATGGACTGGTGGTGGGTTAATCCCATGGTCTGGTAAGAGTTTATCAGGTCTGTTGTGAAGTTATTGATGCAGCTCCCTACACCTCCTGTACTCTTGCCATCACATCCATCACCATGCTTTCACTCCTTCCCCTTCCCTTGACCCGTTTCCCCCTTTCCCAGTGGCAATGCTGCGGAGTATTTGTGAATGACTTCAACGAGTTTCTTGCTGTTCCAACCTGTGCCACTGGTTGGCACAATGATGAGGTGTAGACTGGACGATGAAGGTATTGTATTCCACAAGGCAGCAAGGGCATAGGTAACTTTGATATCACAAAACCTTCATAGCGTAGTGGCATTAAGCTAGTTGTGCCATATCGAAAAGTTAAATCCAACCCTAAAAACTAGCCCGTTGTTGGGTTGATAATAGCCCTAGGATCTTTTTAGAATGCCAAGTCCTTATAACCGAGTGCTTGATAGCACAGCGGAAGTCTTCAGTTGAACCCTTGTACTGGTATATGAGAACAAGTGATTGATTATAGCAAAGGAATACAAGGCTTATGTAATAATACAATAGAATATGAAGAGTCTAATTGTTTTACGACTCGATAAGGCGACTCGCGTAACCACCCGTACTGTAATATCGGGACGGTTATTTGTTCTTACTGTCGCGCTGACTCTTGACTCTTCTGATTCTGACTGTCGGGTTGCACAGTCAATGGTCTGCGATCGTTGCCCTTTCGTAACCTCTGGGAGGTGTCGTCAACCTGTGTGAATCGTCAGTGGTACTGTAGTAGTGTTGACTCGGTAATCCTCGCGGTTGTAGTCTTCGCCTATTTCGTACACTCATGCGAGACTCCGAAAATGCCTCAAGTCTTTTCATCATTTCCAACACCCTCCATTTCGTGGTGTGTCGATGTGGTCGTCGTTGCTAATGTGTTGCAGTCCAGTCAACAGCATGCAGTACTGGAACTTGGCCTTCTTCAGCTTCTTGGTCAAGTAGTCGGCTGCCATTACAGTGGTGGGGCAGTAGACGAATTGGAGACGACCTTGCTCGATCTCGTCCTTCACGAAGAAGTAACAAAGCGAGATGTGCTTCACGCTGTTCGCGAATCCATTTTTGTTGGCGATTCTGATTGCCGATTGGTTGTCGCAGAAGAGAGAGAAGCTCGGTAACTCGGCAATCTTCGCTTCTTCGAGCAGCTCGCACAGGTACAGTCCTTCCTTTGTAGCTGCGCAGAGGGCGATATATTCAACTTCAGCAAATGAGAGGGCGATTAATTCCTGCTTTTCCGAGTGCCTGGAAATAGTGCCGATATGTTCCAGACGGTAGATGTAGCCAGCGCGTGAGCGGCGGTTGTCTTTATCGCCAGCGTGATCGGCGTCGACGTAGCCAATTAGTCCGGTCTTGGTAGCGGCGTTATTGTGATAGGTCATACTGATCGTCGGGGTCGAGAAGAAGTTGTGGAGCGCGCGATCGAGTTCCTGCAGATTCCCCCTTCAGGTCGCTCAAGGTAGGTAGCGAGCTGGCTAGCGGGGTAGGAGAGATCAGGATGGAAGGTGATGGCGACGAACAACAGACGTCCCAACTTCGGTTGATACTCCTGGATCCCGGCTAGTGCGAGTAGCGAAGTGGTCGACGCGGATGCTGGTGGCACATATGCGTACGGGGTAGCGAGGGATAGCGGTGTCAGATCGAGTCTGCGAGCGATGGTGTTGGCGTCCTTCGAGGCCGAGAGGCGGATGGTGTCGGGGCCGTCGGTGACGTTGAGGCCGAGGTTCTGGGTCACGGTCGACGACACCGTGGTCGTGAGCTGGAGTTCCAGCTCACCTTCGAACTATACTATGATGGAAGTGGTGGAGCCGACATAGAGTAGGTCGTCCACGTAGACGATCAACAGGACGTAGTTACCACTACGTGACAGGCGGTACATGCCCTGGTCGTGTGGTAGTTGGGCAAAGCCCATGTAGGTGAGGATGCGATGCAGGTACTGCTGCCATAGGCGCGGGGCCTGCTTGATCCCGTATAAGGATTTGAGCAGCTGGCAGACCATCTTGGGGTCGTTGACGTAGGCTAGGGGTTGCTCAACAAAGATGTCGGCGTCGACCAAGGCGTAGAGGAACGTAGTGGCGACGTCGATTTGTCGTAGAGGAAGGTGGCGAGCGGCGACGACGGCGAGGAGAATTTGAAGCGAAGTGTGGCGGCTAACCGGAGTGAATGTCTCGGTACAGTCACTGCCGTACTGCTGGTCGAATCCGCGAACCACCCATATTCCATTGAAGCGCTCAATGGTTCCATCCCCCTTGGTCTTTACTTGGAAGACCCATTTTCTGGATAGTACTGACTTGCCCTTTGTCTGAGAAATTGGGATGAGTTTCCACGTGTTGCGTTCGTGCAGTGCCGCTAACTCTCGATCCATTGTTTCCCTCCATTTTTTCTTGTGTGGTCATTGTAGGGCGCGCTTGACACTCTTCAATTCCTTGATTGGTGGCGGCTGCGGAGGATGCACGGCTGCTACCAGTCCCAAGATTTGCAGACCGGTTACGATGAAGCGGGGGAGTGTTGGATTCTCGGGATAAGGTGTTTCATCTCCCGCTTCACGATCAGGTACGAAACCTGGTCCAACCTGTTCTGAAACGCTAGTGTCGATGCTGTGGGGTGTTACATAACTAGTGTCGGCGAAGTGGTAGTAGGCTTTGGCATTCGCGCTTTTGCGAGGATTATTGCCGTCCATCTGCATGTCGACGGAGCAGTAGGGAAGTGGTCATGCAGCTGCTGACGCGTCGGGGATGTTCTGCTCCTCTAGATCAGCTTCTTCTTCTGTCGAAGAAAACGCGCGTGCTCTAGCGAAGCCACCGGATGGGTCCTGATTGGCTACGATGTTCTCCACGTAAAGGTTAAGGGTCAGGCTCTTATAAAAAATGACATCACGTGCCGGTACTGTTTCCTTATCTTCCATGTCCAAGATCTTCCAAGCCTTGTAATGTTTTTTCCACACCGATGTGTAGACCCCATCTTGGCCACTGCGAAAATCGTCCAGCTCGTGCAGTGTGCGGACGATACTATAACATGCAGCCGAAGACTCGTAACATTTTTGTGCTACCCTACTTCCCTGTCCACAGCAGATGCGGTGATGCGTTGTTTGGCAGAGAGCTTGACGGCAGAAGATTCTGCAGCATGACGGCGCGATTCATCGCCTCTGGCCACTGCGAAAAGGGCATGCGCATCCCAGTCAGCAACTTCCTCATGGTGTTCTGGAGGGTTCGAATCATCCTCTCTGCTACACTGTTCTATTGGTGAGCGTAGGGAAGGGTGAAGAGCCTCTTGATTCCTCTCTCAGCAAGGTAGTCCCTGAATCGCTTTGACTGGTATTCTATCGCCCCATCTGACAGGAACACATTTTGTTTCGTGTCTCCCTCCCGTTCTGCTGCAGCAAGCCAGGCGACAAAGGCGGAGAGGGCGAGGTTGTGTGACGGCAAGTTAAGGTGTCAGGTGCATCGTGTCGCGACATCGACGAAGGTATTCACGTAGTTGAGGTCGGCCCGGCCGACCTTTTGCGGCATGTATAGGATATTGCTGTAGACTTTCTCGAGGGGAGTGTACTCTGGTGCACTGGGGTTGTGATGCAATGGGAACTGTTGTCGAGGAAGATCTGCTTCCGGGCAGATGAAGCCGGTACGTCGAGGTCGTCAAAGTTCACATCCATCGAGTAGTAGTAGCACATCTTTTTCCAGGACATTCGCACGTATCGTCTCGAATAATCTTGAATTTTCAGGGTGCCCTAACTGTTGATGCCATGTTTCCTCATTTGCTTAGTGTCCCACAAATTGGCAATACAAGTCCGAGTTGGCGTAGAAGGCGGAGACGGTCGCGGCGCTTCGATGCTGTTCACGTGGATGTGTCTTCATCTGCTCGGCGTCGGTCGGTGGTGGCGCGTCAAGGGGTTCTGGTTCAGCTCTTTTTAACCGTTCTTCCTCTATGTTCTTCCACCCTCTATTCGTCCCTCTCCATTCTTACCCTGCCTATTCATTCCTCCCTCTGTAGGACCCTCTCCCTTCCTCTGCCGCTCTCCCTTGCTCCTTATTCTCCTTTCCCCCTTTCTTGCCTTCGTCTCAGCTGTACCTTTTTTCCCCTCGCATCCGTTCCCTTTCTTTCCGACCTAATCGCTTTAGTTTCTTTCTGGCTGCTAGTGTCTCAAGCTCTTCCCTCTTATTTTCTCCTCTGTTATCCTCTCCATTCATGTCATCACGTTCGAGGTTGTCATATTCCAAGAACATTCCCAATCGTCGAAGTTCAAGTCATCACGTTCCAAGTCTTCTCAGTCCAAATTCGGTCAAAGCATTGATTGATGGATATTTGAAGCTGACTTTTGGTCATGTTTTCGTGCTACCCATTATATCTTTGTGTTTGACTTGCGTGCATTTGCATTGTTGTTTTGTGTCCTGGTTTTTTATGTCGTGTTGCTTGTGTATGTGCATGTGCATGGTAACATTGTTTGACAACGTGCGTACCAGTTTGTTGGCTTGAGCGTTGCACGGTGTTGTGTTGCGTTGTGCTTGCAGGAGAAGGATGCTGACTATGCCTAGTGCATCACACAATTTGCGATCATCGTTGCCGGTTTGGGGAATTTCTTCTCATTCCCTGCATGCCAATCTCTATTGTAGCACAAAATCATTGATGCATTTCTTTCTTTGCAATCACTATTGCACTATTTTTTGTTTGTATACCATGGGTACGTACCATAACCAGGTGAGGGGAGGGAGGCGAGGGTGCATTTACTACATGATCATCCCCATTCAGACAAAAATAGGTAAGACCTATCATGTTCAAACGGTCAGGATGGGTGGCGGCACACACTAGCACATCAGCACTCTTTTCCCAACCTCCCGCATTTCCTCAGGTGGAAGAGTGCATCTCCTCCGGCACAGCAGCGAGCCTCAGAGACTCCAAAATGGACGCCCCTAAGGATGCTATGCAGCGCATGGCTCGGCTGGCAGTCAGCTACACGGTGGAGCGCACTGCGAGCCGCCCAAGCATGGCTCACATTGCCAACGAGCTGCAGGCTGTCAGGGAGGAGGTGGCGGGGAAGGACGAGCTGAGTGCTGCGATTAAGGTGGATGCTGAGGTCCAGGAGATGAAGCATGCTTGTAAAGGTGGGGGAAGTCTTGATGCGCAGCTCGAGTTGATTGGGGGTAGCTTTTCCATCGAAACCCAGTCTAAATTTGTGAGGGGTGGTATTGCAAATAGACTTCACTTGTAGAGTTCACCCTTGATTCCGCTCCATTGCCAAGTTGTTTGGCTCCTGATTTATAGTTTGAATGTTCACGTAGCTTTGTCAGCAGCGTCTGAGTCTGTTAAGGAAGGCCGTGTCAGTATTGAAGGGCGGCAAACCACTTGAAATAGATATGAAGTGACATTCTACACGATTGTCTTGGGGATATTTGATGTGGTAAGGGCATTATAAGTGAGAGAAAACAAAAACCGGTGAGCACATTATGTTGAGATCCAAGTGGAGAGGGCTAGATGAGGAGGAGCTCTGGGCCAAT